TAAATAATCGTTTTAAAATACTTACATATAAATATCGGAAGGCGAGGATCGTTTCACGCATCGACACCAACATTGTTCGGTTTGTGGCATCGGCCCTATTCGAGGACAAAAGATCTAGATTATGTTATTTACTAAATTATTGGACCAGACTATTAAGTAGCAAACACGCTAACCAATGTCGACGTCGATTATTTTACCAAAAAAATACGAAATTTTCTTTGAATAAATTTCTTCAAAAGGCCTATTAACCCCGATACTTAGTTTCCTATTGTCGTCAAATTTCGGCTTTTAGTTATGCAACAATTAATATCTATGTAAATGATCGGAAACAGAGTATATATTAACAGTTTCGGAGTTTAACGCCGGTATACAAAAGTATAACTGACTTTAAGCCATACTCGAACAATTATTACGGTTTCAGGTAAGTTTCAGTCTTTAATTTGTTCGTACTTTATATTACGTGAAGTTTAATTACAACTCCGTTGTTTATACTTTATATTACGTCAAATTTATCTCGACTCTGTCAAAATTTGGTTGAATGTTCCCGTGAAAAATGAGTGCTGTTCTTATAGAAAATTTTCTTTAATGCATCTACGTAAGAATTGCTTTCTTGCCCCTATAGAAAACGTACAGTACATACTGTATATGCACTTGTGTAATGCTGTATATTGCATACACGGCAAAAAAATCGCATGCCGCACCTGTATAATATTTTTATGCTTCACCTATATTGTATTTGTATGCCGCATCTGTATATTTGTATGCCGCACCTATTTGTATTTGTATGCCGCACCTGTATTGTAATTGTATGCCGCACATGTATTGTATTTGTATGCCTCACCTATATTGTATTTGTATGCCGCACATATATTGTATTTGTATGCCGCACCTGTATTGTAATTGTATGCTGCACATGTATTGTATTTGTATGCCGCACATATATTGTATTTGTATGCCGCACCTGTATTGTATTTGTATGCCGCACCTTTATTGTATTTGTATGTAACTGATAAATAATTTTTAGTCACATTGGTAAGGTTAAAAGGCTAGAAATTACCTTTCAGATGCTTTGGTTCAAGATATCGACGGCGTGTTTGATGTTAATGATATCGGCAATAACGGCCAAACCCGACGCCAGGGAATTTGTATTCCACGACCAGGTGGTTCGAACTTATCCTCCCGATCCTTTGGACGCTTACATCTTGATGCCGGTGATGATGGCCATCGGAGCCGGTTTGTTCGCCATGCCCTTCTTGACGGTCCTTTGCATGAACATGATGAATGGCAACGGAAACGGAAACGGACACTCGATAACTTCCGGAAAGAAGAGAAGAAATGCGGAACAACAGACGGACTTCCTTTACCTTTTGGAAAAATCGATAGCCGAATTTGGAAAATCTTAAATACAGTATTTAAATATGTGTAATAATTCAATAAATTTTAGCCTTGTCTTACTTTCTAACTATTTATTTCGTGTTGAATCTGAGGAAGATTAACTCGGAAACCCCTAAAATGAATTTGGGACGATATGCACCCTTACAGCTGGGTAGGGCTCTGACGTTTGACCTTTACGCGGGGGTCAAACGTCAAAGCAGTTGTGTCAAACGCCTAAATTACGAATCGCAACCCCTCAAAATTTATTTTGCCTCCAGATCTAGCCCTAAACCACGAACACGGGTAGTTGGTTTTCTTCACGTGTCTAGCACCTAATTAGGGACCGTTCCTCCCGTGAGATAACCCTTAACAGATGGCCCCATTGCGTTGGCGTACTCCACCAATTCAATCCTCCAAGACCCATTACGTCCCACCGGTTGCCCCCTTACAAAATATCATGTGACTTCCTTGAAATCCAATTCATAAAATGATTAATGTCGCGCTGTTTTCTAGTGTTAACAAGTAAATATACTATTTATAAGATAGGAAACACTGTATAACATCGCTACCGTGACTTTATTTTTAAAATAAACAGTTAAATAAATAAAAGAAAATTAAGTTATCGCGTGATACTAGCGTAACCATTTTTTTTTATGGCCAAGTAATTACAGTATAAACATTAAAAAAAACGTGAAAATATTACCTTAATATCGCTAGTTTTTTGGCACCACTTGCGGTACTTTATTATCATTAAAAAAAATGTACCAGAGGGATCATTAAAGCAGTCATTTATCGAGTTAAAGTGTGACGTTTTTAGTTACGTACGAGCGACTTTCTCCAGTAGCGTGGCCGAAAATGGATTTAAACTCCACTTTAAGCGATTTTACGCTGATTTTAGACTATTGGATTTCTAGAAACGTACAAAAAATCGCGGAAAACTACGGCGAAAAATAAATCGGTAGCGAGACATTTGAAATTCTAGTGAAATTTTATGCTAAATTTCACTTAAACTATATTGTATCCCGAGCTAGATTTTTCGTTTAGCGAGAAGCGAGAAGAGATTTGCGATAATCGCCACGAATTTGTGGTAGAGTCTATCAATCACTCAATTGTCGCGAAGCGATAAAAATTTAGCGAGTGAAATAATTTTTTTTGGCGATTCTAAACTGTAACGTGCCCTTCCCCTCCACCAAATACGTGTAAAAACGTGAGGCCCCGAGGTGTAGACCGGTAACGCGAGGCCCTAACCTGTCGCTCGTCTATATTAAGTGCGTAAATTAAATAGAAAATAACAATATTCAAGTATAATTTTACCTGATAAAACTAATTTTATCCAAAAATAAAGAAAATAATCTATAACAATTGATGTGTATACAGTTGTACACAACTCATAAGTGATACTAAACAGTTACATTCGAATGAACACTTAGATTTAAGCATCCAACGCGCAGAGTCGCGAGGAAATTTGCATATTGTATAGAGAAGCGAAATACTAGAACACGTAGATGTTGTGTTACGATAAGTAAGGAAGTCTTTTATGTACAATAAGGAGAAAGGATCTGCGTATTAAATGAGCGAAACGTAGAGTTTTTTTTATTCTCGTATCCTATTCTTCGCAGACAATGATTCGGAGAAACACATCGAAAGCCATTTACTGTCGATTAACTCCTTCTGTCTGCTCCGATGACATTCAATAGATGTTACAACTTGACCCTTCTATAATAAAAGCCTCATAAACATTTTATGTTCCATCCTCTATCAAACATGAAGCTAGCATCTCTGCTGGTAAGTCTTCTGGTTTCTTGTCTCCCGATCCCGTTACGTACCTAATCTCCTAATTTCCAGATCTTGCTTTGTTTCTCTCGCTCCACGTGTTACGCGTCAAACGAGGACGAACGTAAGGAAGAAAGGGGTTACCCCGTGTTACCTTCGTTACCTTATTCTCATCAGATGATCGTCATGAATTACCTGCTCATGGCAGTTCCGGCGGGGATTATGATGTCCGTTGTTGCTCTATCCATGTTGATGTTACCATTGTTGATGGAGGCCAGATCCTTCTTTCCTTACTCCGAACGACGATCCTCCAGGTCTTTTGAAGGTTTGCAGGAGTGGACTAACATCCTTCGACAAGCTATCGACGAAATTGGGGGTCGGTAGGCCCCTCTCCTTTTGACCGTTTTCTCTTATCGATGCGAGTATTTAATTGTATAAAACGATAATTGTTTTATCGTTACGCTTACTAAATTATAATAAAAATTAATTATAAACTATTAAAAGTCTAAATTATTAACGTCTCTCGCTTATTCGCGAGCTACCGGTTGAGTAATTCCGCATCATTCCGAAGAGTAAAGAAGAACCCGATCGTCACGTGTTAAACGTTACGTAATGACTGACGTATCGATTATCCGAACCGGAAACGGATGTTGTCGAGATGTTTCGCGGTAAAATATAAAAAATAAAAAATAAACACCGAACACGGCACACATTGATTTTATTTAAAAATAAGGGCAAGAAACCAAGCTAAACAATAGAAACGTAGTGTCCAGGTGTTTACGTTCGTCTTCTCACAATAAAAAAAAAAATCCGCGTAACAATTTAAAATCCTGTTTTCGGGATAAGGAGTGTTGGTTCTAACACTGAATAATTACACCTCACTAAACACATACCCGTAAGGTTACGTCTATATATACCTAAATTACAATAAGTAATTTTACTATAAAAGAATTTCTAACTAGTTAGGCACCTCCCTCCCCCCAGTGACGTTTTCTACGACTTTTTATGACGTAACAAACGCTCGTTTCGGTAGAAAAAAATTCAATTATAAGAGCGAGTACGAAGCGAATCGACACAAATTGAAATCTTCGTACCGAAAATAACAAAGATTTCACTTTAAGCAATCCCGGAAACGGATAAAAATGGACAGAGGGGTGGAAAAATCGAGAGGGGGAGGAAAAACAACGCGTCATGCTTGAAAATCGCGACGACCTTCAGAAACCTGGCTGACTGACCCACAAAAACAGGTCCGGGTAAGGAAGGCCAGTTCAAGTCTCTTCTTCTTCCGGTCCACATCGTCGACCAATCAATGGAACCGATCTTCGAAGGTGGCCATTTTTATTATATACCTCCGTCCGATAGTCTTCTATAACACACTGCATGCTACACCTGACTGGATGCTCGTATATATCACACAATAGAAGTGTTACTTTGTATGCTTCCGTTTGATACGAGGTGAGTAGGCGTTTGTTTATTTCGAAGATTTCTGTATTACCGGAGGGACTGATGTGGTAATTCTCAACCGGTCGACCGCGGCATACTGGTTGAAAAGTAATGATGTTATTTTTCTGTTGTAAAGATTCTCAACCGGTAGTCCGCGACATACCGGTCGAGTGGGGCCTAGACTGAGAAATTTTATGCAATTTTTTTTTCTACAGATGAACTTGAAAATGAAACACGTCGCCTTGATCCTTTGGATATCGCTCAGCGTTGCCGTTGAAAGTCATCCGGAATCCAAGCGTGAGATCATGGACAGAACACCCAGGAGGGGAACGATACCGGGCCTCCCCATACCCGCGGGTCTTAGACCCATCCTGTCCATCCTGGGATTATTAAGTCTTCCCGTGTCGATTATGGGCAACATCATCCCCAGATTGACTCAGTTCATCCAGAACATTCCCAGGCCGGGAGGAGGAGGAGGGGGAGCCGGCGGATTATTTCAAAATCTAGGAAACAGACCGTTGGGTGGGAGGCCTCTGGGTAGCAGGCCTTTAGCTAATCTCTTGGCTTCCGGTTCCTCGTCTTCCGGTTCGATTTCGGCAGCAAGTACGGCGAATGGAGTCGCCAGCGCAGCCGGGAGCGCCGCTTCCGGGGGGAGCTTCTTCTTTAGGAGATCGTCGGAAGTTATACCCTGGGACCTCCCCAAGATCTTCAGCAAGCTTAAAAACGTATACAAGAAGTACAAAATGGATAATCCCGATTGCCAGAGATTACTAATCTGCGAAATGTATCGTCGAGGCACCTCCATCAAAATCGGAAACATGGCGGACAGGTTCTTGCGTATATTGAGGTGAGTCAACACCAAACTTCAAAAAAAAAAAAAAAAAAAAAACACTCAAGTTACATATTTCGTGCCTTTTTTTATGACCTGAACTCACTCGTTGCCCGAGGTTAAGCATTACGGATGTACGAAATGTCGTGTCATTCCTCCCTAATTTAAATTATTGCTCGATTGTGTGTGTAGTATAATAGTCGTAATGAAGACACAGAACTAATTAAATACCCTTCCGATTTAAGGATATTTAAGTAACCCGCACGAGAACTCTATAACGTGGGTAAGGGTGTGGGTGTGTGGTGAACTCGAAGTAACCGATTTTGTTTACTTTAACAGGGCCGAGGCACGCTTGGACGGAGCAACAACGTTCACTTCCCGCACCAAATCGACCCTGAAAGAATTCTTAAAGGCGGCTCAACACGGATTGGCACACCAAGAGTGTTCGGTTATTTACTCTCGATGCTCTGGCGACTCCGTGTCCGCGGCAAAGTCACGTGACGAGTACTACCCCCTGAATAAGGAGCAATAGAAAAATATCTTTCGAAAAAAAACCTCATTACTTATTTATTTATTCGACGTATTCGTAAAATACAAACGACATTTGCTCAATTTTGCTGCAGTGTTTGACGTCATAAATACTATGTATTTTATTTATTATTAACGGGTGTGATATTTTTATTTATTTTGTATATTTAAAATAAAATAATATAATTAAATTAACTAATTCCAAATCGAGTTTTCTATATAATTGGCCCACTTAATTACTTCGGGTCGTTCCTTAAATTGTGGACGAATTAAGTACGTTTAGGTCGGGCCAAACGAATTAGTGCGCCGGATTTTAATTGGAAGTTGAGTAACCGTGCATAACGTTCTTTTTCTTCTAAAAATATCACCAAAATGTGTAAGAACTTCATATTTATCTTTGACATTGGACTGGTTAAGCATTGCTCGGCATCTCGTGAGTATCTTTTTTCCCTATTTATGTAAATACCCTCATTCCTTCTGTTCGAAAATTGAATTTAAATCTCATTAAACCTTTAAAAAAGTACCCCTAAATATTAAGTTTAAGCACCTGATAAATATGGCCATGGAAATAGAGTTTAATGAAGAGTCCATGCTTCGTGAGTACCCTTCGAACTGATGGGTACGAATCTATGATTTGATTTATGCAGTAAATCTCTGATGCTTATTGCATAATTGATTTTTATGTTGTAATTTAATGCGTAGTACGAGGTGTCCGGATGACCCTTTCGTAGTTTAATTACGTATACACTCTAACTAGAATAACTGGTTCGCCAGAGAGAAATTATGATCCAAAGCTAACTTGGGTGGTGCTGCGCGTACTGTACCACACGGGAATGATTGTAGTGAAGTGCAGCCATCATTAGAGACTTGTATTGCTAAGTTGTAACGTATAACAGGCCCTTCACCTCCACTTAATACGCGTAAAAAACGTGAGACCTGAGTTATAGACTCGTAACGCGTAGTTATAAGTTTCAGAATCCCACTGGAATGTTTCCAGTGAGGTGCACCGCCTTGTTAATGATGTATTGTAGTTATATAGTACGAAGTTGGTGCCATCCGAACCACGAGAATGAGTAAATTGATGTCTTAATTTCAGATACGAATATCAAAATGAAGAAATTCATAATATTTATGTTGATTGTGAAATTAACTTTGGCCGATACAAAAAACGTGAAGGAGCGCAACGATCTTATGTTATCCTCCATCCGTCAGTTTGCCAATACGGTTAAAATGATGAGAGATCTCATGCTCATGGGTTCTATGGGTTTGCCTCTCTTGGCCATGGTGGGTTTGGGAAGTTTAGTATTACTGCCCATGTTTCGCCCTTTGAGAGCTCCACCCTTCAGGCCCGTATCTCCCGGAGATAATAAAGAGGAAATGCATAATTTCCCGGGACGGCGGACATTTGCCATCGAAGAAACTTTCGATATGATGAAGAACCTGAATCAAGTATTCAGAGAATACAGCATTAATGAACCGGAGTGCAGACTTCGAGCCATTTGCGAAGTGCATCAATACACTTTCAGAGGAGATCCCATGGACAGAATAGTCCAATTGATGAAGTAGGTCATTTTTCCCGTCTTTTTCCGCTTAATGGCAATTAATTTTAATTAACGTTTTCATTTCTAGAATGGATAAAGACATGGGAGTGTCTCCGACTATAGTTTTACCTCCGAACATCTTTCTACAGTACAGAGAAGCGGCACGAAGTGGAATGGTCAAGCAAGATTGCTCGAAACTCTATGGTCAATGTCCCAAATCGGTCTTCTTCTTCATTAGAAACAAACACGATAATTTAATTCTTTCCTCGCCGCCGCCATTTTAAATTTATTAATTAACAGAATCAGAAATTACTGGTGAAGACTTTCTTTTTTTTAATTTTACAAGGTTTAATGGACACACAAAAAAAAATATACAAAAAGTACGAGTTCGCTGTCAATAACTCATAGTTTAACAATAAATAACGACTAGTTACTTTCCCAATATCCGTTTTTTCTTATTATTTCCTAGTTGTGTTATTGGGCACTCTACAACGATTATAAATCTGCGAACAATCTTCCTGGTTATTTCCATGCTTCCACGCTTCGTGAAAATGTTTATAAGTTAAAGTATCCATGTCGGTTATCGAGGGATGTCTACAAACAATACACTTTCTTTAATGCAAAGCTCTAACCATATCGGTACTTAAATTATATACGAGAAACTCACTCGAATAACGTGGTCATAGCCCTTCCGACCTCTCCGAATTTCGTGCTCGGGTGTCTCTGCATCTCGCACACTACCAGCTTCTTGCATTCTAAATTCGTCACCCCAAGACGATCGAAAAAACGCGTCACTAACTTTTCCGTTCGTGTGGTGTCTGAATTAACGGCTCCGTATCTCTTGATCCATTCACTGGCCCAGTCGAGATCCTCGAATGACCTGCAACGCGAAGGTTACAGATAAAAATCGAAAGAAAAAAAAAAGGTTACAGAATTTAATTCTGGAAAGTTCTCACCTTCTTAAATTCAGGATATCGGGCCTTAGAGCCAATCCAAAAACAGCCATAAGGAACGGTATGACTTGAGTCAGAGCCAGCACTCCCGCAAGACCCATAATTGCCATACCACTCACGCTTCCGGGATTAAACATATTGCTGTTGAATAGATTCTGGAAGACTCGAACTTCCGACCCGTTGCCGCTCTTCTCCGTTTCTGGAAGAATTTCTTGGGATTTAGTAGTTTCTTCGGCATTGGCGCCGAGCGTCACCAACATCAGAACAATGGGAAAAAGCATATTTCCCGAGAGTACGTCTTTGTGTATCGTGGTGAAGAGAAGTATGGTCGATAACAGAGACGAGAGCATCCGTCGCGTCCGAGACACCTCTCACCATCTGCATAACTAATGGTGAATTTCGTTTGGCATCACCCTTTGACGTCATCCTCTTTCGACCTGGTCCATCAAAAATGACAAACGGGATCATAATCCGAATCGGGTGGAGTTCTAGTCATTGTTCGTCGTACTTAGTAGAGCAATACCTGGTTATGAAAACGGTGTAAATCATAACTGAGAAATATTCTTCCACTTCGTGGTCTACTTGTTGTCAATGAATTTATTGTTTTTAATAATTAATTTGTCGTATCCATTTGCGTCACAATTTTCCAATATCTCATATATTGCTCCACCCTTACAATTATATTGCCACATCGTTCTTCATCCAGAACGTACGTCATTTATCAAAATTCAATTTTTTAAATTACCTTATGCCATATATTTGATACAAAACGAAGATTATCTGTTGAACATATTAGAGGGCGCTGTTTATTAAACCGGCGCCCTCTAACAGCAAGCGCGCCACCTATTGGCAGAAGATAAGACCGATAAACCTTGATACAAAAGCGCCCCTCTCTTACCTTACGGTTCAAATAATAATAATAGCGATAAAAATACCGGATTTATTCCATTACTCTATCGCATTCAATTTTCCTCAAAATAGAGATAATTCTCGACCTGTAATAAACAGAGCAGTTGTAAATAGTTCGCTGTATCTTTTCAAGAATCATTTAAATTGATGTACAGTACTTTGTAGTGTTTGTACGCATTATTATTACGTAATTTTTTTAGTACATTGTGTTTCTTATATACATCACCGGGAATTTCCCAGGAAGTATCGTATATTTAACACTGGTGCAAAGGAAGCCATCAAAAAAGTTTTGGAACCTGTAACATTTCCGAACTTGGACGTACTGTATGTATTCAATAAACATACAATGCGTACAGTACACATACACGTGTGTTTGGCGTTGGCTAGACGATCCAGATTCAAACCGGTCCGATATTACGGAAGGGGCATCATCTTCCAATTCGATCGACCAAATTGCGGGTAGGATGGTTCCGTAATTGTGGTCTCCGAGAGGCTTATCTCCTCGTGTTAATCAATCTACAAATATACTGTATTCATAAATGCCTGCGTATACAGTTGTGCAGTAAACCCGATTTTCGTACAGAGAGATATGTTTCGTTTCCAATTTGCCCACTAGTGCCGAGTGAATAAATCCACAGAACACTAGTCTCCACGTTAAAAATATGGCGGCGCCGTACCATCGACAGTAGCGTGATGTAGGGATCTACGATTTTTAAAATGTGCTTCTTTAGAGACAAAAGTTAAATGAAGAGCCGTAATTGTTTTATGGTTATGGCAACGCAACACTTTGGCGATCTGCCTTCCGGGAGGTCTTTTTCTACGAGCGGCCATTTTAGCAGTTAGATGGCACGCACTCGGGACGGAACGTACGAATGCGTTCGTCATGAATTTTTAAACGAATACCGCTCGCGAAGGAATAAAAGAACGAACCCCTAGACTTAATCGCGATAGCTTACTCATTAATTTATGAATACAATTCAATACCGGGTGATCATACTTAAGGTTTTATTTACAGGACTAACTCCAATCGATACCAAAATTAGTGTACTGTACAGGCTGTTCGAAGAACGCAAAAAAAATTTTGCGACGAAGTATTTGTTCCAAAATTGGCCGCTACAGGGTAAATGGCGCTGCAAACGAATATAATGAAAAATTTATTCGTATCGAGACATACCGGCATGTGCTGTAGATTCTTGTTGTTGCCATAGTTTAGGTGTGAATTTGAAAACGATGCAAGGACCTTCAAGTCTACCAATAATGAATGTATCACGATAACCGTTCTTTAAACGACCCCAGCTATTTAACTTGCAGGCTTTGGCAAAATGATCGTAGCTGTAGTTAAGGATGACATTCGCTACTTGTATTTTTATGCTCAATCTCGGCTATGCACATATTTCTTGTTTGCAGTGCCATTTACCCCTTAGTGGAAAATTTGGGAACAAATTTTTGTGCGCGAAATCCTTTGAATAGCCTATTTACAGTACTCAAATTTGTGTCTCAATTGGCTTATCGGAACTAGTGTTATCTGAATAGGACTTTGTGATTGCCCTGTATAACTAATAACATCCAAAAAAATCCCATTTGTAAAATCCTTCCATTGTATCATATGACCAAATTATCACCACAACGTGCTCTTTATTGAAATTATTTTTATGGTTGCTTAGACGATCATCAATTTCCGAAATGCTATTAACTTGTGCTGTCATTGTTCTTTAAACTAAAATATCAAACTATAAATATGTACAGTATATTAAATTTAATTTTAATAAATATTAATATTCCGATGGCTAGGCGACAAAGATGGCAGCATTAATTTGAACTTGACATTAGGGGAGTCAAAGCTGTCGTTTGCAACCCGGAGGGGATTAAATTTGGAACGACGTGTCGATAATGATGACAAACAATTGGAGACACAAAAACTTTTTCATATATGATCAATATGAATGAATGAAAAAATCTTTTCTTAATGTCTTGAACATTTATTGTGGGAAAGTAAGAGTATAAATCTTTTGACACTAAGTGCAAGATATTTGATTTTGATTCTCCTGATCAGTCTTAATTTAGTTAACAAGATTAAAAATTTGTGTTTGGGTCGGTCAGATACGAACGAGAAGTTAAATAAGATCACAAAAGAATGACTATCGCCAGGATTTTATTTATACAAGAGTAACCTGTTTAAATCCGAGAGGGATACATCATGATTCTTATTCGTCTTCCCATCGCCTTGGCCGGAAGATTCCTCTTGAACTTGGCTCGCACCACACCGCTCTTTCCGTGGGGTCGGGTGACTTTGCCCCAGATGACTCTCAACTTGGTAAACTTGTCCTTTTTCCCCGGGACTCTTGTTTTACTGAAAAAGAATTTTTTTGTTTTGTTTTGAAACTTGCAAAATCAACATAAAATAAATTATTTTTCTCAGAAATAATAACCTAGTTCCATTGCATACTGTATATAACTATTAATTTAAATGATTACATGAAATTTGCAACAATATTCATACACAAAATTCTTTCATGAAAAATAAACTGTCAAAACAAGTGCAAAAAACTTCTTTCAATGGATAAATATAAGCTGTAATATATTGAAAAATCAAAATTGATTAAAATGGAAAAATATAAGCTAGTTATTTTTGACACACACACTATCTGTTCTGCCATTTTATCACTATTTAGTCGTGCATGTGCACTTTTCCGCATGATTATTATTTGTATCCTATACAGGGTATGAAAAAGTAGCTTCAGTCCATAACTTAAGGGAGTGACAATAATACAGTACAGTAATAAACATGGAAGCCAATTGCCAGTATTGTTATCTTAGACAACACTAAAAGTAATTGTATGCCACATGTGTGTGTTGAGCATCGAATTGTATTTGGCAATATTTGGCACAACACGATGACATCGATTGCAGTGATTGCACAGCCGATGTTGTTCCAGTTTCTATATTTCGTGTGGATTTGCACAATATGTTGTATCAAGCAACCGATGCAGTTCACTCACTGCATGCAGCATACCAGTGCCAGAAATCCAAACTGAACTGGGACTATCTTTTGTGTGCCATACCATATCTACTACGTGTTTATTTTGAAAATAATACCTCAAAAATTGTATTTATTATACCCATTCTCAGACGGATTTGCCATCAAAATTAAAAAAAGACTCTCAACAAACAATGAAAATTCCATCAATAAATTCATAAAAGAATATAATTAAAACCAAATAAAATTATATAAATATGAAAACTATAATTGTTTAAAAATAATTTATTAGATATGCAAAGTAATAAAATAAGGAAAGTCAATTTTGCAAGAAATCATACAATGCAACACTGTACAAAGGAGATGCCAATTTAAAAGGCATTTAGATTTTGCAAATCATTTTTGGAAATGTAAGTGACTGAGATGGACACTTTTTGTAGAAGTAAATAAATAATGAATCAAATTTGCACTATTTTCTTCATTAATCTCATAAAATAAAAAGTGTAAGAGCTTGCAACTTCCAAAATATATAATCAAGTGCCAATGAAATCAAAAAATATATCATTAACTTTTAGTTAATGCTGTAACAATTATAATATTAGCAAAATGAAAATGAAACAAATTTTGTAATGAATTTCCTATGATCATTTTTCCGATTAGAAAAAAAATCAAATTAATAAATTATTATTATTCAAATGATGAGTACGGAATAAATTCCAACTGCTGATCAAAAGTTTATTTATGGTATTTTGCTTAACTGTATTTAATCAATCACTGTAAGTTTCTAAACACATGCTATTAGTAAGGAGATATTGCAACTATGAAATGATTGTGTTCATTACGATATAACAAATAAATTTATAGATCACTGCCAGATGAAACTTTAGATGAGTGTAAACTAGGGAATTCGATCCCGGTCCTTATTTCTAATCCCGGGATTTCGGGATTATACTTCCCGAAATCCCGGATTAGAAATCTGGGATCGAATTCCAGATTATTTCTAATCCCGGGATTGATATCAATCCCGGGATCCCGGGATTATTTCGGTATTGAGGGTTAATAAAAAATAAGAAAATCTTACAGAAATCAAAAATCAAAATTTAGACAAAAATCANAGTTTCTAAACACATGCTATTAGTAAGGAGATATTGCAACTATGAAATGATTGTGTTCATTACGATATAACAAATAAATTTATAGATCACTGCCAGATGAAACTTTAGATGAGTGTAAACACACACACAAAAAAAAAAAACCGATTTTGTTTTGTTATTAATCTCATGTTGACTCAAAAATATCAAGCCTTGTACTGTGGCACACAGAATAAAAAATAAAATATACTGTACTGTGGCACACAGAATAAAAAATAAAGTTCAAAGATATCTTCACATTTAAAACTTAATTTTTAAAAAAATATATAATTCTTTTCTGGGGTTACCAGTCTTATCTGCTATCCAGTGGTGCCCAAACTTTTCAATTAGTGGGCCAAATTGTGTATTTCATAGGTAGGTGGGTCATGCTCATCAATGCCCAAGTGGACAAAACAACTGAACAATGTTAGCTGGTGAAAGATTTGCACCTCACTAACGAGTTGGCCATGTGGTTTCTTCACTTATCTAACACCTAAACATGGACCAGTTCCCATAGAAAATTCCTCCTGGAGGCATCCCCTCTTAGCAGATAATCTACCTGTTGTATTGTCTTATCCCATTAATTCTACAATCCTAGGTGGGCCACAAATATTTTTTTTATTCCATTTGTACTGTAATAAGAGCATGCCCATTTCTATCATTTATAAGTGATGTGTGTGTCATAGCCAGATTAGATCTGATATGGTCATCACTATTCTTTCCTATGACATACTAGACTGGGTAAGTGGCAGCAAGATGACAACATTATTACAGAGGTTGCAGTGCAAGTTCAAATGTTACTTGTACACGGCAAGCAGTACTTGTACATTTTAACTCCAAGAAAAAATCGCTGCAGCGCATGTTCACATCCTCACGTGACTTGGCAAATGTCGCACATTGACTCACGAGGAATTTGTTGATAAAATGGTGGTTACATTTAACATTATTTACTTTCACTGGTAACCCTCAAACAAATTAAACTATTTTAAAGTATTTATAGGATGTTTAATAACACTAAACAATTATTTCTAATTAGCGTGGTGTCTCCTACTGTACAATCGAACAATAGGACCACTCATACTTTTGTCGAGGGAAGTGGCTTATGTAAATTCGAAAGCAGCTTAACAAATTAATTTTTAGAAAATTTACAAACGCATTATGCTGTTGATGGTAGAAGATGCTGTGGAAGAACAAACGTACCTTAAGATAAGCTATTATGAAGGCAAATACATGTAAATTCTATAGGCACTTCACATCACTTGCTAAAAAATTGAATAATTAAATAATTTCTGGATTAAAATCGTCTGTTTCTTTACATTATTATTCGTAAATGCTTAAATAATCATTATTCTAATAAAATAGGTCACAATTTTAACTCCAAACACATAAAAAAAGAAGTTTAAACCGATCTTCTACTCGCCATGCTAGACGTAGTGAACACCATTATTGACTGTCTGCCGTTCACATTTTGGGCTGAATATGACGGCCGCAACCTCTCTATTACTGTAGTAAAATATAAGTTTTCATTAATTTGTTGTATTGTTTAAATGTTACTCAAAATGTAAAGTGTAAAAAAAAAAATTAAGTTCTTTACAACTTCTGTAGATTCTGAACCATTAAATTTTTCCTTTTGTATTTAATTTAATATTTATCTTGTTGTCTATTTAAAATTATTAAATTCTAAAGTAATCTAATATCAGCATTTAGAATTTAATTTTAAAAAGATTTTGTTATTTAATTTCAATTTGTTGGACTGGGAGCTGGAGATCAAACAGCTCAAAAATAGTCCATGTTGTTAGATGTGGGATGCAAAGATATTGTAATGAATACTACCATGCAGCTTCCCTAGCATTTTATGCATATTTTTCACATTGCAGTCATGCAATGTTCTTCAAATAACTCTCCAACAACCATTTGCACATTGCCTACATGCAAATTTTATCTTTAGGAATGGTGTCATAGCTACATCTTTTTTATACAAGCAGTATGCTTCCATACAAAGGCAGGAAATGCTGCACATTATGCATAGCATTTTCAGCCTTCTTTTTGCACCATCTGTTTCTATAATATGTCATTTCCTAATAATTCTCATTAACTTTTTTCCTGTCTCTTATAGTTTGAGATAGAAAGATTAACTTTTAACTTTTTACCACTATCAGTCTCATCTGATGGTGCATGATCACTTTATCATATTAATAAATTACTTCCCCATTTGTACAAAAAAAGGTGTACTTAAATGATTAATATAAATTTAAGACTTAAAGTAATTCATATTTTATCTGCATTTTTTTATTTCAAATATTTAAACTGAATTAAAAAGCCATTTTCTACACAATGTACCATAAAAGTAAAATGAACAAGAATGAGTTAAATCAATTTCAATTTCTACTTACTTGTCTAAGTAGAAATTAAAAGTGTTTATTATTCATAAAACAAATTTAAATAAAGTGTGTGTAATAATCAGTTCAAATGTAAGTTGCACAAAAAGCAAGAGATAATTGAAGTTGAGATGTATGTGTATGTGACTTTGGTGGTTTCTAAAAAATAGCAATGAATGTGTAAAGGATTCTTCACGAAGTTTAAAGTGACTGCAAGTTTAGACAACAGAAAATCTGTTGGATAGAGTTATAATTGCAATTTAAAACCAACAGATATCTGATTCAACCATTTTCAGATAAACTCTAAAACAAACACAACCTATTGGTAATTCTTGGAAATTTATGGTAAAGTGTTCAAGTTACTTTTACAATAATTAAAAAAAAAGTAATTTTAAAAGCAAATCAAAGTGTATATAAATGAAACAATACTTACTTCTTAGCTTTATAAACAAAGGCACATCTCTTTCCAAGATAGTAATTTGTTTCCTTTCTAGTGACGACGCCTTCTATTTTTAAGAGTGCCGTATTTTCGTGCTGATTACGAAGACCACGTCTGTATCCGACAAAGACCGCTTTACAGTACAATCTGTTCAAAATAAATTCATGTCATTTAACACAGTACAGAACAATGTCAATTATTGAAAATAATATTGATATATAATTAAATTCCTATAAACTATGAAATATTAAATCAATCATCAAAATAAAAGAATCCGATTCATTTTGAGTGTTACGTAAAAAAGTAGAATTTAAGAT